CCACTCGGTCCTGAACCGAATTCTACCCCTCTTTTGGTTTTCTCAGCACGTTGATTATTGACACTAGTCGGCATAGATGACTCTGACAACGAGTCTTCCCATTCTAAGGATCTGGCCATGATAAAAATAAGGAAAGAAGAACAAAGCGTACCTCACAGTAGTCGGTTTGAAAGAAAAAGTTGGAATACCCTTCGGTTTGGAGCAACAGTATATACTTCTCGGTACAAAGAAAAAGTGGAGAACAAAATACCTGAACCACCACGTATTTATAAAGGGTCATCGGGCATGTGAAAGGTCATGTCCCTCCCTAACCGACAGATCTATCCCAGATCAAACGGTCAAGATTGAGTACCCTTTCGTTTCGTACACACATCGAGGAAACCCTAAAAAACTTGAGGTTCTAGAATAATCTATTTCCATTATTTATTATTTATTTTTATGAATTTTTATTATTCCTTATTTTTTACTTATTTCATTAGCCTACATTCACTTTTCTAATAAACCGAATACCCCCTCGGTATTCCTAACCACCTAATAAACTGAATACCCTCTCGGTATTGGTAACACATCCCATAAACCGAATACCCACCTCGGTATTCTTACCATTTCACCACACCGAGTATCCTCTCCTTTACATATGCTTGTCACTTGTCTGATTTTTAAACCCTCAACTCGTACCTCTTCGGCCTTGGGGGACTAGTGTACTGAATAAGGGAACTACTCGGACCTACATATAGAAAAAGGAAACCGAATACTCACTCGGTCAATGTGAACCAATATCTCTTCAGGATTTAAAGGTAAATAACTTAATTAAGGATAATAATTAAAATATTATTGAAATCAAGAAAAGGACCAAAGTCAAGGCTGACTTAGCAGGCCCATTAGCCCATTACAATGCCTATAAAAGAAAGGTAGGAAGTACAGGTAAAAGGTGAACTTTTCATTATTGAATATCATTTATTACTCAGAACCGAATCCTGACTTCAGCATCGGAGTGCCTTTTGCAGGTACCTCCCTACGTCAGCGACAACCAGAGAGACGTCACCACAGCAGATCAGAGACTTGAAGATCAGTGTTATCCTTGCAGGAACAGTTCTCTTTTCATATATTTTGTCTTTGGATCCCAACAATAGCTTCCTTATACATAAGGGACATCTTCTTTTTTAAGTGCATAAACTCTTTGTTATATGGTGATTCAAAGTTAGAATATTGTTCCTTTCTTTTGGATTTGTCACACTATAGATAACTTTTATCTTTAGATCCCAACAATAATCTCTTGTGCAAAAGCTTTGCCCATTACTTTTCCTTTTTACGAAAGTTTTTTTTATCACTTTTCCCATTTTGCTTGATTATTTATTTTGGTACTAACTTAGGGAGACAAATTTTGCTCCTAATATTTTATTTTTCTTAAACTTACCAAGCTTTGCATTTCAATACTTGCTCTTATTCTTAGAAATATTAAATTTTGCTTCTTAACAATCTTGTATAACTTAGAAGATTTAATTTTCTCTTTTCAAGCCCTAATGCTAACTTTTACTTACCAGTGATTAACCTTGAAAGCGTTTTGACCTAGTGCTTCATAGGCACTCCTATGCTCCTAACTTAAAAAATTCAAACTTTTTCTTCCAAGTTCTAGAGGAGACTTCAACTTATGTCCCCATCTACTCTTTTTAAATACCAAAACACTTAGACCTTTCACTTAACAAGGGAGTAATGTTTTAAGTGTGTTTTGGAAAATATATTCCTTCACTCTTTTCAAATACTAAAATGTTCAAACCTTTCACTAGGTGAAGGGAGCAAGATACTAAGCATATCTTGGCAAGCATTCTCCTTCACTCTTTCTAACCACCAAAATGCTCAAACCTTTCACTAGGTGAAAGGAGTGAGGTAGGAAGCATATCTAGAAAGCGCCATTCATTCTTTCCAAATACCAAAATGCTTAGCCTTTTTATTATGCACTTAACAATGATTAATAAAAAAAAAACAACTTTTAACATGAAAATAATTGTTTGGAATGCAATCCAAATGAAACAATGATCTATCAAGAAAAAAATCTTGAGAAAAAGAACAAGCAATCATAACAATAATTCTATACAAGAATATGAAAAAGTGTTAAATTAAGAAACAACTTTAAAAAAGAAAGCTATCATTTAAGCATGCTTTAATCCTCATAGCATTACGTCTAAAATTAAAGATTTCAAGATCTATGAAAAATGATCTTAATAATTTACTATACTTGTAATTATATATGTTTATCACATGAACACCTTAATAACATGCTATCATTTAAGCATGCTTTAATCCTCCATATTTGTTATTCCCAATACACATGCTTTTAACCATTTGAAAGATGTGATAATATGTAATAATTATATTAAAAGGTAAAGTTGAGTATTTAACTCAATAACATGAACATATATACTTTGTACATGTGTTCTACTTACAATTTTAATGCTTTTATGCAAATATTTTTTTCTTCACTTGCTTTGGATTACACATGTTATTTTGCACAAACGCTTTTGCTCTAAAATGCACATACTCTTTTAAAATACTTGTTTGTTCTAAGGATACATGTCTTTTATACGAACTTGTTGCATGTCTTTCTATACAAAGTTGTTTATTCTTTTTCATTTGTGTTCTTTTATCATGAAAATATTCATTCTAAGTTATGTATGTCATTTTTTAAAGTGTTTTGTTATTTTTTCTTGTGATGTTTGTTGATGCTTACTTTTGATACGTGAATAGTTTATAACCCACTAGGTGGACCCTAGTTACTACCTCTATACTAATTGGTATAGTCACATTATCTCTCTTGACCTTCTTTTAGTAAGAACCTTTAAATACATTAATCCCAAGAAAACAAAAATAATAAAATAACAATAATTCATGTATACTTATGATCACTATTTAATAATATTTAAGAATGAGAAAGAAATCATATCTTTTTTTTTTTGTGTCATCAAAGCATTGTTGCGTGCTCTCTTTTTTATTGTTGTGAATGTTGTTTTCTTTTCTTGTTTTGTTGTCACTTCAATGTATTTTTTTGTGCTTTATGTTACTAAGATATCTTCAACATTTGTGACTTGTCTTTCCTTCATCATCATAGGTTCTACCACTTTTTGACATGTGTTTTCTATTTTTTTTTAATATTCATGATATTTTTACGTGCATTCTAAAGCGATAAAGGCGCTCTTGGTACATATATTGCTTTGAAATCTAGTTTATCCCCTCAAGTTCAGTATGCTTTCTGCATATTGTACTATATGCAGTTAGTTCACAAAGATCTCATAGAGTCATGCAAAAGATTCACCATAATCTTATCTATAAATTTAATTAGATATAATGTAATAGTCCATAATTATTCAAAAAGTAAATATAAACTAAGTGAGTCTTCAATGAAAAATAAACACAAAAAGTTCTTGATCCTAAGACACGCTGTCAAAACTCCAATAATCATACCAGCTCACCAAAATCCAAATATTCAAAATGTAGCTATTAGAGTTTTTTAAGTAAAGTTGACAACTTAAGAGATGATAATTGTTTCCTATAACATATATGTTTTATCTCTAATAAATATATGATATATTAAGAGAGAATATATAATTTGCTAAATTAAAATTTTAAATTCTTCCTTCTTGAGTCCTTAAAATAATTTCTAATATAACAGAAGAAAAGTATGGTTGTGCACATTAATATACACGATTGTGCATATAATTAAAACATAGGTATGCTTGTTGTTTAAACATAGATGTGCTTATCTTATTTTTCATCATATCTAAAATACTTCAATAATTAATCAAAGTTCTTAACATGTTAAACTATGATAATCAATACAAAATTCATTCAAATAACAATCAAGTAGATAAAAATAGATTAAAAATATATGTCAAAGCACAGACATATGAGTCATACTCCTCCCTCACCCACTAATTCCTAATTCCTTGTATGCCTCATTCGTCCATGTCACCCCTCTTGTAACCGTCTAATATGAACGAGAGGACACAACTTTCACCTTCCTCTCACCTTTCTCTCCTGGTCTCTACTCCCCAACCGTCATCCTCCTCCTATGTTTCCATTTAGCACTCCACTTTCATCACCAAAAAATAGTCTCTCTTTCTTTTTCTCCTTATCCCATAATGGAATCTCTTGAAGCATCTCATTCTCCATATTTAGTCTCTTGTTCTCGTGCTGCCATGTTGCTCTCCCAAAAGGGCTCTTATAGAAGATGCATAAAGGTGCAATGACAAGGCTACCAGTTGAAACAAGAAAACAAACTTGAAGCAAGAAAGCTGTTAGCTGCAAGAATATTTTTATATTCGACTAACCTGCTACCCAAAACTTCTAAAATTAAAAATCAGACAAAACCAAATTAAAGTAATCACCCATTAGTTGCCTTCGAATTTAGCTATTTTTTTCCCAAAATCGAATCTGAAAGAAATACAATCCGATTCGTATCTGAGCTATGTGATTCAATTATTAGCGAGAATGAATATTTTAATCATTAAACTTTCTTTCTTTCCGTCTTATTGTTTATTTCTGGGAAGACAGAATCACTTTTGTTTGGTTTGACATAAATTTAAACTCATCGTAACACCATATAGACCACACCGATTTTTTTCTGGGACCCTTCACCCCTCCAACTTTCTTACTACCACTTAAAAGTAGTGAACTACCTTACCTGGGAGAGTGGGAAAGAAACCATCCATGTGCATGGTTTTGGATTCGGAGAGAGAGAGAGAAGCTAGAGTTGAGTGACACAATAATTAATTAAAAATAAAATAAACAATGAGTTTATTGTGTTGAAAGATGAGCAAGGTTTGCACTGTCCACATGCACCTTCACCTATTAAACTCAGAACCTTCCCTTCTCTTTTGCACTGTACTTCCCCATTTCCTGGATCCCATCTTGCTTTCACTTTTGTGGAATCAAAAACTTGTATTTTTCCCATGAAAGCCTTCAACTTTATGCACCATAGATAAAGGGTTGTGTTGACGTGAGCAATGGCGGAGGTGCTGCAGCGAGGTCGCTCTCTGGCTGAGACGCCAACATATTCGGTTGCCTCTGTTGTTACTGTGATGGTCTTTGTTTGTTTCTTGGTTGAGCGTTCAATCTACCGCTTTGGAAAGGTAGGGAGGGAAACTCACTCATTGCCAAAATGAAAATGCTCTTAGAAATGTTTATGTGCAGATGTAACAAAAACGGTGCATGGAATGGAACCGTAATAGAACCCAAGTGGACCAATAAACTGAAGTAGCTTTTTAAATCTCATGAAGAAAATATGCAACATATTTTTCTTGGCTGTGCAGTGGTTGAAGAAAACAAGAAGGAAGGCACTTTTTGCTTCGCTGGAGAAAATTAAGGAAGGTAAAATGTCTTAGATAGATACCTGTAGACATCATCATATGACTAGGGTGTATGGTAAGACGAAAGGAATAAGTATATTCCATAATACTATTAGCATGGTTTCAGTTTCTTATATACTTTGGCAGCTTTATTGATTTTTTGTTTTGTATTTGACTTGGATTGATCCTTTGTGGCAGAGCTGATGCTGCTTGGGCTCATCTCTTTATTGTTGGCGCAAAGTGCTAGATGGATCTCTGAAATTTGTGTGAATTCGTCACTTTTCAGCAGTCGGTTTTATATTTGTTCTGAGCAAGACCTTGTCACGAATGAGAATATAATGTTTGAAAGCTCTTCATCCTTCCCTGGTGAAACTACTATTCCAAAAGGACTCAATAGTGGTACATTCAACCAATGTGCAGAGGTAACATGCTTCAAATACAATATAGGGGGTGCTTTCTTCATTGCAGTATGTCCAATTTCATGTTTCACGTTTTTGGAAAATTATCTCCAAAAGACGGCAAAAGAGACAATAAAAAAGAGGTGTTTGGTGCATTCAGCCACTAACAATTTGAATGGCTATCTGACAAGGTAGTGACTGACAAGATGAGTAGTTACATGATGTTAGCCAGTAAACAGTTGCCATGGACTGGCTTCTACTGTTTCTGAGTGACAGAGGATAGCACTGATGGTGAATGTGGTTATGGATAAAAAGAAGGTTTCTATTCCATTTACTGTCATACTGACTGAAAAATACAGATGAAAAAGATGCAGGACTTATCTTCTATAGAGCAAACTGAGATTAGATAGCTATTCCCTCGCAACACTACAAATCATCCTATTGAAATACTGATAAATGGATGCAGGGCCACGAACCGTTTGTTTCATATGAGGGTCTTGAGCAGCTGCACCGCTTCTTATTTGTTCTTGGAATCACTCATGTTCTATATAGTTGTCTGGCAGTTGGTTTAGCGATGAGCAAGGTCAGTCATCAAAATTCCAGTTTATTATAGGACTATGTACAATAGTTCTCCTTGGCACATTTATTAACAACAGTACAATAATATTCACCATTACGATCAGTAAAATGTGTCATGTCCTTATTATCAGTGGTGACTGTAGATAATAATGTCTTTGCTTGAGTAGTGTGCTAGGAATAGCAAAATTGATTTTCCTTGAAAATGATACTTGTTCCAATCAATCGGAGTTGTCTTACTTGCTTTTGTTCTCTATGTTTGGTTGTCTGGTTCATATCCTGCGCATGGTCATTTTGATGCTTTTGAATTATAAACAGATGTTATCATCTTCTTGTGGGGAAGACATTGCCTCTTGTATGATGAACAGTACTTTATTCTCTCTTTGTTGCTTGTGTTTGTAGATATATAGTTGGCGCAGATGGGAAAATCAGGCTACGATGGCAACTGATGGAAATCTGCAAGGTAAATCACAAAATGGTGCTTTATTGACCAACCATTTAAGAACTTTGTCAATGTAGAAACAAATGACTAGGGGAAAACCCCACAAACTTGGATTCCATTGCATGTTTCTAACATAAAAATTTCATCATCATCTATCGCACATTAAAATATGGCCAGTACTTTTACTAATTTTTGCTCAACAGAAAAGAGAAACAAGGTGATGAGGCGGCAGACAACCTTTGTTTTCCATCACACTTCTCATCCATGGAGCAGGAGTCCAATACTAATCTGGATGGTGATGTGTCATCAATTTAAATACATATTCTTACTTATTTGTGTGACTTTGTTTTTTCATTAAGCTGACATTGTGATATCTATAACATATACATAATTATTTTGCTAGCTCACGTATCCTTGTAAACTATCTCATCTTTCAGTTTGACTTGTAACAATCTGAAATTCTGACATAATTGTGAAATATTCTTGGATTGGAAATCATGTTTGCAACTGTTCTCTTCTTGCTTATAATTTTCTTAGTATGAGCCTTATGCATATTTTGATTTTTTATTGTTTCAGTAATAAATGACACATTTTAATCTGAACTTGCAGCTATGTTTTCTGCGTCAGTTTAGGAGTTCTATACGAAAATCAGACTACCTTGCACTCCGTCTAGGTTTCATCACAGTAAGTGTTTTTAGGGTTCTTCTCTAATTATTTGTCCCTGATGACCTGATTGTTTTAATTCTCCCTATATTCAATATGCTGTTACACGTTGTGGACAGAGCTGCTCTCTTGCATTCACAAATCACAAAAATCAACGCCATTCTGCACATAGATGATCACTTGAGGATACAAATCAGTTGTCTTTCTAGAATAAAATCATTAACTTGCTGATCATCTCCCTGGTTAAATCTTATTCTACACCACTGGCTTAATTTGCTCCCTTCTTTGTCAATATGCAGGAACACAAATTGCCGTTGTCCTATAATTTTCATAACTATATGGTTCGAAGCATGGAAGATGAATTTCATGGCATTCTAGGAATAAGGTACAAACTCTTTTGAAACGGATTTCTCCTCTTAACTGGTTGCTGTGTTGCAAACGATATAATTTATTGCATTATTAATAGTAAGCTGCTTAGTTAACATGGAAATATTTAAGATTGAGAAATGAAGTTTCCTTTGAGAGAAACTTTTTAGTTATTGTAGCAACTACTTATGTTTCTAATCAGCATCAAACTTACTTCAACTGAAGTTTTGCTAACCGAAAACATGGAGAAAATATCTTAGAGCTGAATAAACTTTTCCAATTCTGTAGCTGGCCGCTTTGGATTTATGCTATAATCTGCATCTTTGTGAACATCCACGGTAACTTTCCTATTTTGGAATTGAAGATGTCTAGATTGTTAGTGTCCTTAATTAATGTCCTCAAATATTGAAGTTTCTTAATGTGCAGGTCTGAATATATACTTCTGGCTATCATTTATCCCTGCAATGGTATGTATATTCTGATTTGATATTTCAACAAATCAAAATAAAACAGTTCATTGAAAGTTATTTTCCTTAAGGTCTGATATCTCTACACATAAAAGCTTGTCATGTTAATAGGGACAAAACTTCAACATGTTGTATCCACTTTAGCACTTGAAATTAGAGAGCAGACAGGTCCATCAGCTAGGACACAAGTAAAGCCACGTGATGATCTTTTTTGGTTCAAAAAACCAGATATCCTGTTATGGCTGATACAATTCGTGATATTTCAGGTATATATTTAGCAGTTTATTCATACTCAGTTCATTCTGCATGGTTGTTTTCTTGTTCTTATTTTCTCAAATGTTTATGCAGAATGCCTTTGAAATGGCAACGTTTATTTGGACATTGGTAAGATTTTAAAATTTCAAGATTGTATCTTTGGACGTGCCAGCATGTGTATGCCTATATCTGTTCGGTGTTCCTGTGTTTCATTGCTAGAATTCTTTGACCGCTGGATTTTTTTTTATTTTCTGTTTGTTTAGTGGGGACTCCAGCAACAATCGTGCTTCATGAGAAACCATTACATGATCATTATTCGGTTGGCATCTGGGTTGGTTTCGCCTCTCTTTCAAGAATGCTTTGTTCTGCTTTCTTGACTTATTTTCCAGATTTTAAATACTTCAATTTGCGGGAACTCTCACATTTTCTTGTTTCTAAACTTGCAGTGCTCTTGTTCAGTTCTGGTGTAGCTACATGACAGTGCCCCTGAATGTAATAATTTCGCAGGTTGGCTTAACTTTCTCTCTGACAAGTTCTTATTTCTAAATATTCGAAGATCATTTTATTTTCTCTAATTGAAAGGGTAAATACTGGATAGGTCTATAACGTTGGTTAAAAAATGGGGGGTGAAAATATCAAGGTTAAAAATTGTATTATGACTTGGGGGGGAAAAGGCTGATAGAACTAAGGCAGAATAGTCAAATTGAGATAATATGGTATCACAAAAATGACACTAAAAGAATATGGTATAAATGTCTCTCTCTCTCTCTCTCTCTCTCTCTGCAATTTAACTCATTTTTACATGAGCATAAATAGGGTATAAATCTCAAAAGAGTATGAAACACTGATTTTCCCTAAAAAAAGTACAAGAAACAAGTGATGATATCTTCAACCTCTGAACTACAAAGTGATCGCGTCATTATGAGTTATTTGGTTATCATCTGTTGACATGAAATGTTTAGTATTCTATCCCATTTTGCAATAATGTTTTAACAAAAATGCCAAAGCAGTAACTTTGCTTAATCCTGATATTCACCTTTGATGACTCACTCCAGATGGGATCTCGATGTAAGAAGGCCTTAGTGGCAGAAAGTGTTAGAGATTCCCTGCATAGTTGGTGTAAAAGAGTAAAACACAGGTCTAAGCATGACTCATTAAACTTGCATACCGCTAGATCAGTATGTTCACTCGAATCAACAATTTATGAGAGGGATGAAATAACAGTAGTATCCGGTACCCTAACTCGAAGCTCTTCCTTAGAGTCTTTGAATCAGATAACAGTGACTTCAGCAGATCAGCTGAATTTTGAGACTTCCAACAACCCAACCAAGGTGGCTGAATATTTGTCTGAATCTGTACATGTTAATCCCCCACAACCGCCTTACAATTGTGAAGACCATGTTGACATCGGAGAGGGAACAACAGTTGAGACTCTTCTTGATTTGTTTCAGAAAACATGATCAATTTATGTTTCTTATGTTTTATGTACTACATCATAACCTGTTAGAACTTCAGAGACCATAGATGTACAAATCGTTGTTAAATCCTCTGAAGTATAACACAAGTTAGCTTGTACTGCAGATACAATCAGATATCACCTCTCTTTCAAGTATATGCAGCTAAAAAGGTCAAAAAAATTCCCAATACATTCCATTTCCTTCTATCGTTTCCTTGCACTAGCATCATCTTTTATTAGAAGTTTAGTACGCAGGTTAGGTGCAAGTTAGCATCTTAGACCGGGTATACCACATAGGGTGGAGGAGACGGAAGAAAACTCACGCACAAAGCACAAAAAATTTGCACGTACATTACTATGAAAATTCAGAATTCTTATTCATCACAGAAGAGAGGAAAGGAGAGAAAAAGATATTATATGCAGGAAAACATTATTGAAGTTGCAACAAGTTCACTTGTTATACTACAAGAGAAATAATATTAAGGCATAAGTTGCTCATCATAGACAACCACATCCACAGAAAAAGGCACAAAATTAAACGCAACAACATAACATGATTGGGGGGGGGGGGGTGTGGTCGTTGGAGGGGAAGAATCTTGAAGAGGCAATGGGAAGAAGATTTAAGCAGTGAGCTCCTCCTCTTTGTGGGTCTCAATAACAACGTCAGACTTGGGGAAAGCAACACAGGTGAGAACAAATCCTCCTTCTATTTGGTCATCATCAAGGAAGCTACCGTCCGACTGGTCCACTTGGCCACCCACAACTTTGCCAGCACAGGAAGAGCAAGAACCAGCCCTGCATGAGTAGGGAAGCTCAACACCTATCTCTTCTGCTTGGTCAAGAATGTAAACATCATCTGGGCAGTCAAATTCTTGAGGTCCTTCTGGGGTGATCAGCTTCACCTTGTATACAGCCATGCAAGTGACACGACCTCCACGTCCTCCTTTTAAACCAAACGCAGTTTGACCCACGTTGGAGAATGCCTTAAGACTCGTGCTCACTGGCTGCCTCCTCAGGAAGGAGGTGCTCACCATGGTGCTACCGAAAGCTGGTGTGTTGGCCATTCTTTTGGTATTGCAAACTCTGGAGTGTGCTCCTCTCTCTCTACCAACCGCTGCTTATTGTTGATAATAATGGGGAGCTTGTGGAAATAGTGTGGTTACAACAAGCAGCGACGTGAAGTGGCATGCAATCCTATCTGCCACGTGGCAGTATTTTATGCCTCACTCTATCTATCTCTATTATCACCACAGATTATAGGTGATCGTGGTTAGCACAATCCTCACCGCACAAGTTTCACTTTATGAACAATTTATTGAATTTTTTTATATGGCTCTATACGATAAAATATTACAAGGGAAGGAATGCGGATTTTCCTGTTAAAATCGTCTTTGGAATTTCAAAAGGGTTACCGGCAGGGAATTTCGAGCGTTTAAGAGCCACAAATCCAATTTTCAATCTCTAAATGCTTGTACTGCTGTTATAATGACTTAACTACTAGTAACATTACTTATACGATTGCGTTGGGAGAAAAAATTACAAACATATTTGAATAAACATAAACAATTGCGAAAAAATTGTTAAAATAAACTTGAATTTTTGCCAAATTCAAATGTAACCCCATCAACAGTTCCTTAACACTTGAATATCAAAAGAGAGCAAAAAGGAGCAAAATACTTTTGCCACTACAACCATTGAATGTTTATCCTTGACGTACTGCATTTTACACCCTATGTTCAAATAAAACCTCCAAAAGTTACAGAAAATGACTAAAACAGCGCACAGTTGAGAAACGGACGTGCAGCAGGACAAACTATTTATCTACTCATTTATTATTGGCTAAAATCGTGCCTCGCGGTGTTACACCCAAACTCGAAGAGACATCGAAATATATAGAGTCTAAACAACATTAGAAGGCAAAAAAGAAAAAATTGCCTAAAAGATTAAGAAGAGATGTTTTCAGGAAGTAGTTAGAAAGGATATTCAGATTTGATACAAAATTCAGAAGCACAAAATTCATTTCCGAGACTTCATCCCCTCTACGTACAATAGCTAAACCGTGTAGGGGAATCAGACATCAGTCCGTCAATCGGGCACCTATTTATAAAAGGAGGAAAAAGTATCATCGAGTCTGATATTTTGCTAACTATCTAAATTACAAAGACCAGTCCCTGCATTCTAAACCAAGGCTTTCACTTACAGCCAGGGAAAAAATCTCAGGGCTTTCCTAATATTGAGAAAGAATACATCACCATCCTCAACCCTGTGATACTACCTGTAAACATTGTTCAGTCCCCACACGACCAAAGGCTTCCTTTAAGAATTTACTGTCTCCAGCAACAAACATTTGGAAGTGCTCTGGTCTCAGACTCCTAGAAAAGCCTTAGTCACACTTGATGTTTCTGTAGATCCTCCTCACAAATAAATTCGAACCAAGATAACCCACAGCTCCTGCACAATAGGAGAAAAACTTCAATTCAATTCAGGTGACAGGAACACAGTAGCTTGTATAAAAAAAAAAGGTATTCTGCACATAATTAATGTATTCCGTTTCACTTCAGCAGAGTGAACAAATGATTGAAACAGAGATTGCAATTAAACTGAAGACTTACCGCACAAAATTCCCAGTCCAAGACAAAACATCAAAGTGTATCCAAAATAGAAGCTGGTTTGGAAGAAGCCTGACATCTTTGTCTTCACATAGTAGTAGTATACTGAGTACAAATACACATAAACAGCTGTAGAGGCAGCTGAAAAGAAAGACGTCCATTGCCAGTGGTAGTTCTCAGCATTTAACAAAAAGTATGTCCCCACAATTGTCACACAGACAGTAACAATGATAAGAATCAGAAAAACCAGTAGCATGAAGCCATAGACATAGTACACCTGTTTGTCACAAAGTGGAAGGGGAAAAGAACCACGTAAGGCAACAGTGCATGGGGTTATTCAGCTTTCACAGGAATATATGATTTACTACTTGAAAGACCGTAATGTAGAAATATTTTCCTCGAGAAATAAAAATTAGCTAGGCTCTGAAGTAAAAGCAAATCTTAACCCAAACGAACAAGGGAAGAAAAAGCACTTTACTGCCAGAAACAAATAATTGCATTGAAATTCACCTTGTAATTCCAGAAGGAAGTAAATACAAAATACATCTCAATGAATATGCTGCCAAACGGAAGCAGTCCCCCCATCAGAGAAACTACAGATGGTGTGAGGTACCACTTTTTCTCAGGAATGGGGCGAGGAATGGTCTTAACACGACATGGATTATTCGGAGCACCACTCCAATTTCTTCCAACAACTGTGCCAAGAAGTGCTAGTGGGAAAGAGATAAAAGCCCAAATAACAAAGACAACCACCATTGTACCAAAGGGGATAGCTGCTAGAGATCCATAAAATATAGCAACTGTGTTTAAGATAAATCCAATTCCAAAGCACATGAATGGGAACAGTGAAGCTGTAAGGATCATGGATTTAATCCAATTTTTACCTAAAAATGATAAGCACAGTTATAGTCATCTGAGAGAGAATGAAAAACAGCTGCCCAAACAAACACAAAGAGAACATGTAGCACAGTTCAAAGCAAATTCTTACCCCCATTACGTGAGTACATTCCTCCACTCACATAACCAGAAATGAAAGATGTGAGAGCATAGCACACAATGAAGGTTGTGACAATGGCTCCTCGTCTGCACATTGAAGGAAACTTAGATAATAAGGGATAACAAGTGGCCATACAAAATATAGTCAATAGGAAAACTATACAAATGAAACATTTGGTGATAGATAAAATGTGTAAGCAGAAAATAACGTGTGCATATAGCATTAAGTCCATTTTGTTGACAATCACACAATTATTAACATAATCACTATTCAGAGTAAAATTACAGTCAGTTTAAGGTTAACTGCTTACCCAACATACAACATCCCAACAATAGCCAACAAGATGACAAGAAGAACCAGCAATGCAAGCTGAGCACCAGTACCAACAACAGCTGAAAGAATAACCAAACTGAAAGGAGGCCGAAAAACATCACCATGCACAAGTTTCCAGCCAGATTCTTCACTAACATCTCTTTCCTGGAATATTTGTGCATTGACCAAGAATTGACAATCAGAAGTGAATTTAGGAAAAGAGAATCTCGGTGTTCCAGACAAAAATATATATATAAAAAAAAAAGATAAAAGTCAACAAAAGCCTCACCAGAGTTTCCAAATCATCATCTTCCCGAGCATACTTTGCATAATCATTTCGCAAAGTTCGCATTAATATCATTGACACCAATCCAGTAAGGAAGATGACCATCATAAAAGAGTTAAAAATGGAGAACCAATGAATCTGCAGAAAGAAAAAAATCAAAGTTCTCTTAATGACTTGGCTAAGGTAGGATCCACTGATCCACATGAATGAACACATAGCCGGTGATCAACAATAAACACTTCTTCAATAGAAAATACAAAGCTAGCAGCATTTATTTTCACCTGATGCTCAAAAAATGGATAGTCCAGGTATACATCAAATCGGCGTCCAAAAGTGACATTAGTAGTAGTCCATTTGACAGAATATGTCATGTCCAAAGATCTTCCTACTTCCAAAGGCTTTGGGTTGTCATGAGTTAGATTCACATGAATGATCTGCAATAAAATGGAACTAAGTATGGCACTCAATGAATCCCAAAACATAATAAGATAGCAAAAATATTTAAATAACCTCTGACCTGATCGTTATTGTATTTAACAATGATGTTCTTGTGTGTGTAAAGTACATGCTTGCCATTATCACTGTTCTTATCAGGATGTAGCTCACCAACATACCCTTAAACATGAATAAGAGAACCCTCTATAATGATCAATTAATTAAATGCAAAATCAAATCAAACAAAGAGAAAGTAGCAGTTGTAGGCATACCCCATAATGGAAGGTCATCTGAACATTCGTTTAGCACATCGACCGCCAACAAATATAACAAGAAACAGAACCAAGGTAAGTTATTCAGAAAATTGAAAAAAAATAATAATAATAAAAAGAAAACAAATGATAAAGGGAAACCATAAAACAAACCCTCGCTCACATCAGTATATCAATCAAGACAACTTAATATCAATTGTCTACAATTTGCTAAGGTATTGAAATTTGAAAAATATTTATGAATAACTTTAAACAAATAATTCTTCATACTTTTGAAGAAGAGCCTCAGCCCCTTCAGTTTATGCAATGGTCAAAGACAAACTGCTGCCAGCTTTAAAATTTTCAAGACTATCCAAAAGGTACAATTGTTCAATCAATTCTCTAAGTAATAAGTGGAAGAAAGAAACAGTGCCCAACATACCCATGAAGAATTCAAACCAGTAGTTATTCTCAATTGCATCCTTGAAGTGTTTAACCTTTGCTTCCTCAAGTTCCAGACGGCAAAAAGTGGTCTTTTCCACATTTCCTTTTAAAACCAAAAAAAAATAAAAAATCCATTAGGGCCAGTACATCAACTGATAGGTTTAATGAAATAGATAGGATAAAAGAAGCCTTCATACCAAGGAACTTTATCTCAAGTTGGCTATCAATGAGTTCATTGCCACCCAAGACCTCACCAAGACCACCCCATTTGTGTGCCGGATTACCAGGTGGTCGGCAAAATGGGAGGCTGTAATAATTGTATGTTTCTTGTGGATTGTTATAAGGACCAACTTTGTTCACCCAAAGAATAACTGGGTCATCTTTTTGATACTGCAATAAAATGAAATACATGTTTTAAACAGATAGCCATTAATGACCGGAAGCTACAAATAAAAGAAACATATTTTATCTTTGCACCTAGCTCAAGGAAATGATAGAGGATTCAGTAATATAGCAATTACAATTACCACTGCTTAAAGACCTTTAGAAGTGCATTTTATCAATTAATTAAGAACATTAATGTAGGTGTACCAATAAGTAATAACTATCTTTATGTAAGTTGTAACCATGAATTGATTTATTATGAGGTTACCACGAAGCTCATATACGACACAAGCACTGTCCAGTCAAAGCACCTAACATTGACAAGCTTCCTAGAAAGGGAAGACTGACACCCAAGCTCCCGATGTCCAGGGAGGCAGAAACACCTAGCACTAAATTGTTTTCAAGCCTCCCATCAGGGTATGTGCATCATTTCAGTCTTTGAAATACTAAAAACAATTGCTGATAGACATTAGACCATACAGAAGACTAGGAACTGTAAAACTCACCACTCTTGCAATTTTTAAGTTAAGAAAAGGGGTAAATTAAAAGGATCACCATTTGCAATACACAATGACTGCCAACAGACAGTAGACATAGGAACAAGGTTATCGAGCTTGAATGTTGAGATTATGCACAAAAAAGACTAAGGGTATGTTTGGGAGTGGGTTTTTTAAGGGGAAGGGAAGGGAGGACATATATTTTAATTTAAAAAATTATAAGAATTATTTATAATGATTAATGCATGATAAAAATATATCAATTTATATCTTTTATTTTGAAAAAATATTAATTTTAAATAATTTATTCAAAATAAAAAAATTTGCCCTCCCCTCCCATCCAAAACCCTTCTTCCCAAACAATCCCTAAAGCAACCAACAACAATGAATTGCCCTTTATGGTTAGTATCAGCCAGTGCATCCTGGTACATGTCAATGCAATTAAATCACAATGGATGCAAAAAATAGCAAAATAATCGATATAATGGTATCAAATAAAGTAGAAATACTAGCCAATAACCGCTCCGTGGACATTTAACATTGCCAAGCGAAGTAAGTCAAGAGTGAATGTCAACACACGATTTTCTCATATTTACTTAATGCAGAGTCCAACGTAGAAAGAGAAAACTCCGAATTCCAAACACAGCCAACAAGATGAATTAATAGCAGAACAGGGAAGAGTTGAAATTGAAATCCACATCCAAAATGATAATGTCAATCATTATTAAAGGGGCATAATGGAGAAGAGTGAACAAACAGTTGAGATCTAACGGCTAAACACCAACCACATCGCGTAGGCTTCAAACACAAACGAGAACGAAAACACGCAGCTGAGAAAATGAAAGGAAAATTGAAAGCTTAGATCTAACTAGAAAATGAAGATCGAGCAATAGAATCGGAAAATCTTACCCTGTGATCTGACTCGGAAGCGAGGGCCGGATAGAGGAAGAGAGAGAGGAGGAAGAGGAGAGAGAATCTGAAGAACATGGTGGATCTCGAACCTCAAGAGAGAGAAACACAACCGAGGACTTGCCCTTGAAGGATTGAGACTCTCTCTCTCTCTCTCTCTCTCTTCGTCCCACTGATTACTAATATTATTTTTCACGTTCAACCCAACTAAGTAGTACCTTGCATTTTCTTTTACACTGCACCTAAAAAATCGATTTTATTATTATTATTATTAGAAATTTGAAACTGTGTGCTGCAAACTGGGCCATGGAATTTCAATTGGACTTGTATGGAGTGGGCTTATATGTAGTCTCTAGCAATAGAATCAAGCCCATGGCCCATGTTTAGATTCAGATTCGTGAAGCTTCGGGTCACCCACCCCTCTTGACCCAAAAATAAAAAGGACCCTCACCCATAAATACTTGATGGCGACAATGATATGCAACCAAGTTTTTATTGTTTTATACGATAATGTTAACTAGAGTTTTAAAGACGTTTGACGCATGAAATTGAAATTGATTTAGAATCGTAATTATCATGTTTTAGTTGTGCAAACAATCAAGACATATAACTGTAATTTCTAGTTAAATTATAATTCAATTTTTCCATTTTTAATTAAATGCAGACAAAGTTGAAAATACATTAAAGTTAAATTAAAGATTTTAATATATTATTAACTACAGCAATAATAGTAATTATAATAGTAGTCACAACAGTAGTAATAACAATAATAAATATTATAATAGTTTGTGGTAGTAAAAATGTTAATAACAGTGGTAAAAGTGCTAAAAATAAAGAAAAATAATTAAAGTACTGTGAGGTAAGATTAAGAATTTTGATTAACAGAATATTATTTCTAGTTGTGTTATAATTTTATAAAATTGGGTCTTGGAATGGTGTTTCAATTATAAAAGCATTTTCCTAACTAGTGCATATAAGGGTTGCATAATTCTGACTCGTTTCGGATTCATATACAAACAGCACGTTTTGATACATGTCTGTTACTTATTGATTCAAGTTTTTCCATTGATTAATTTCTATGTTGGTATCTTTACAATTCAATCTCACGTGTCAATAGACTCTTAATAAAATTTTCAAGGCCAAATTCCAATTTCATCCTTGGCAAATAAACATTGATGTACCGCTTAAAAAATAAAATAAAATATATAATAAATTATACTATTTAGTATTGCTAAAATATTCTAACTATAATATACCATAAAATATTGCATTTGTTTTTTTTTATTTAAAATTTTTAAGATGATGATTAAACATCTTAAGTTTATCTAGAGAAAGGTTAGGAGAATCGATTTAAATAACATTTATTTATATTTTTTATACCTTAACATAAACAAGTAAGATATCAATAATGGATATAACATACGAATGATATAACGAGTAACTAAATAATATTACTACGAAATTTAAATGATTAATTTTTTAATAAAAAATATAATTGTATGTGTAATAATAATTAGGGGTGAGAAAACAGGTTAATTCGTTTGTCTTACCAAAAGCAGGCTAACTTGAGTTTGTTTCATTTAAAGAATGGACTAGATTTTATAGCGTGTCCCGTTTAAGAGTGAATTAGCATACTAATGAGTGAGCCATTGAATTAATGAGTTAGCATACTAAAAATTAATAAAAAATAATATTTTATTAATATATAATTATTTAAAAAATCTCGTTCCGACCTATCATTAACCTTCATCTTAGGACATGGCATTCAGCGTGACCATCAATTTTGGTGAGAAGCAGTGATAAGAATATCTGAACAGAAGTAAAATAGATGCATAACTGAAAAAAGCAAGAATCGTGGAAGGAATTGAAATTAGAGAATTCTACGAGTCGTATATATGGAGGGTGGAAAAAGGGAAACACAAGTGTTGGTGGCCCACGTCCCTAATAAATGAGGGGACTTTGTAAGCAACAAGTCAAAAAAAGAAGGGTGAGATAACGAAGCACGCATAGAAATGTCATTCTCTAATCATGTCATTTAGACAAACACGCTCTGAGTGAGGAACAAGGCAATTCCAGAACCTGAGAAAATGCTAAAAAATAAAGGGTTAGAAAATGAGCCACGGATCCATCGAAATGGCATCATGCTAAACCTCATCATCATCATCATGCCACCTTTCTTTTGCGGCTCATGCAAATCCATTCCCCCTAAGCTGCCAAGTGTTTATTTCTTTCCATCGTTTTCTCCATCTATCAGCTTGTCACCTAACATAATCCATCTTTTTTTTAGTTTAATTTTAAATCATTATTAGCTTATTGTTTACCATTCATATCATCGAATGATGTCATAATACACACTAAAAGTTAATTTACTTCTTTTTCAACAATCGTGAATAAATGAAATTCTATGTATAAAATTACAGCGATGTAATTTTTTTTAATTATGAAACTAACTAATTTCTCCTGTTAGTGATTATTCTAATTATTTTGCGAGTCTCGTGTTTTTTTTTATTTAGATGTTTATTTAATGCATTTTTATCAGTACTTTTGGATAGTGTATTAATTGTTTACCAAACGTGTGATAATTTGACAGTATTATTGATGAGGTTGGAGTGAGATGATGAAGGGCGTGAAGGTGGAGTGCAGGGTAATGGAGGTGCAGGCACATAGATAGGATATTCGGTTTTTTATTTTGTTTGTTTGTTTCGATTCCACTGAGTGAGTTTGTAGTAGTAGTAGTATATAGGGAGAGAGAGAGAGTAGAAGGGTACGCTACGCTACGTTGAAGAATAAGAAGAAAAAGGACAGAGTAGGTTCCTTTGTCTTTTTCTCTTCTCTCTCTTTCTTTTACAGACAAGTCCTGCGTTAAAGTTGCAAATTTTCTGTTCCTTCAATAAAATAATCAATCAACATTTTCGTTTTATTTTGCTGCAAATTGCCGCACGATTCCTTGCTTTCCTTCCAAACTCTCCCAAATCCCACTTATATTACTCACTCACTCTCTCTCTCTCATAAATTCACCACCTTTGTTCTCTCTCTCTCTCTCTCTCTCTCTATCGGTGGTAGCGAAGGGGATGGAGAAATACGAGCTGGTGAAGGATATAGGATCGGGGAATTTTGGGGTGGCCAGACTCATGCGCCACAAAGACACCAAAGAGCTCGTTGCCATGAAATACATTGAACGCGGTCACAAGGTGTGTTTGGTTCGGTTCGGTTCTTCTACTCCTTTCAGTTTCACCTTCATCACCATACACGTTTTCTTTTAATTCCAAGCATTGATTGATTGATTGATTGATCTGTTTTGCAGATTGATGAGAATGTTGCGAGGGAAATAATAAATCATAGAAGTCTTCGCCACCCCAACATCATTCGCTTCAAGGAGGTCTGTCTGTATATGTGATGTTTGTTGTTCAAAGGTTGAGTGTATGATTTAACACGTGATTTCAGTTTTTCAGGTGGTTTTGACTCCCACACATTTGGGTATTGTTATGGAGTATGCTGCAGGTGGTGAGCTCTTTGAGCGGATTTGCACTGCTGGAAGATTCAGTGAAGATGAGGTTCTCTCTCTATATATAAACTTTTTTGTTGATTTTTCAAATATATTTATTTCAGAGCTTCAAAGTTACACTGTTCATGACCCGTCTCCTTTACCGTTCATTTATAACTTCTTTTTTCCACTTTCCTACTTGTTAAAGGCACAAAGCTGCTTCGTGGTTAACAATCACATGCTGGGGGATTCTGTAATTTGTATCTCATTGTTGTTATCTCCTCTAACTTTCCAGGCTCGCTATTTCTTCCAGCAGCTCATCTCGGGAGTTAGCTACTGTCATTCCATGGTGAATAGAATAGTTATTCTGGGAATGGATTGTTTTTGCTGGTAATTTGTTTTTCTTTTTGGCCTCCTTAAGGGTTATTTTTCTATATAATTTTCCTCCTGCTGCAGCAAATCTGCCATCGAGACCTGAAGCTGGAGAACACCTTATTGGATGGAAGCCCTGCCCCACGGCTCAAAATTTGTGATTTTGGTTATTCTAAGGTTCATTAATGGATTCATATCAACACCAAATCCTTTAAGTAAATTATTAAGTCGTATTTAACAAGTTTTGCTCTCTTTATTTATCTAGTCATCTCTGCTTCATTCAAGGCCTAAATCAACAGTGGGGACTCCAGCCTACATTGCCCCGGAGGTTCTTTCCCGTAGAGAATATGATGGAAAGGTAATCTTGTTTCTATCATGGAATAAGATTAAGAATCTGTTGGAATGTTTCAACACACACAGGGACTTCTCTTACTTAGAGGAAAGTAAGAAATAAATGAATAATGATAACTCTATCGGCACAAGGCCATCAAACAATGTAGTTATGGTTGAAGTGTCGCCTATAATTATAGATTTACAGTCGTGGATTATGCTCAATGACTTGTGTCCGCATGTTGTTGGCAGTATAGTATGGACAAAATAGTATGTCTGAATAGGGTAGTTTAGAATTCAAATTATAAATTTTATTTTCTGCAGCACAGGTGCCTGTGACTTCCCAAAATTTTCAAATGCTATTAAAAACTCGTGGTCATCTAAAGGAAAGGGTATTCATGATATTTGTGTTTCTTCTGACTGTTTTACAAATGTCAGAGAAGACATTTGAGTTACGACCTGGATAGATAAAATTTTGCTTGATGTTTTCTATGTGTGATATGACAATGATCATTTTCTTAGTTCTTCTATTCTGTTTTGTTTCTGTTCAGTTAGCTGATGTATGGTCCTGTGGAGTGACTCTTTATGTAATGCTGGTGGGAGCATACCCATTTGAAGACCAAGAGGATCCCAAAAATTTCAGGAAAACCATCAATGTACATTTTTTCCCCATCATCTCAGTTGATAGATTTATAACATATCTACACTTTCTGACTCTAGATTCTTATATGCAGCGAATTATGGCTGTTCAATACAAGATCCCAGACTATGTTCATATATCTCAAGACTGCAGACATCTGCTATCCCGCATTTTTGTGGCAAATGCAGCTAGGGTATGCACATGTTATCTTCACTTGATATCACTTGAAGTTAGCTCATAATTGTTTAACGATTTCATAATCATAGTTTTGTAGTGTTTTCTTGGTCATTTGGTAAGTTTCAGACATGGACTGATATATCCCTGGCCCTACAGAGAATCACCATCAAGGAAATCAAATCCCACCCATGGTTTTTAAAGAACTTGCCTAGAGAATTAACAGAAGTGGCTCAAGCTGTCTACTACAGAAAAGAAAACCCAACCTTTTCTCTTCAGAGTATAGAAGACATCATGAACATTGTTGAGGAGGCCAAGACTCAACCTCAGGCATCCAGGTCAATTGGAGGGTTTGGCTGGGGAGAAGAAGAAGATGATGAAACAAAAGAAGAAGCAGGGGCTGAGGCAGAAGATGAGTATGAAAGGAGAGTTAAGGAGGCACAGGCTAGCGGTGAATTTCATGTCAGTTAAGAAGCGTTTATTTCTAGATAGAGCAATAGATTCTTGCTTTCCTTTGCACTTGGCCAAGTTCAACTAAGTTGAGTGTGTTTTGCTCGTATGTATAAAATTCAGTTTTCCGTATAGGACATATAGTTGAATAAATGTACATTTTTTTAATATTGTACAAGGTTGTTAATTGTGACCATATTGTAAGCTGTCCTTTTCGGTCTCCACCCTACTCTTCTCCCTATTTATCTCGCTGCAGGGATTAGATTAAGGGACTTTATTTCTATTCATGTTTATGTTTGGTAGTTAAAATGCTAAGTGTAGTGTTTTCCTGTCTGTTTCCTTTTCCTTTGGTTTAGTTTTCTGGCCTGTAAGTGTCCCTGGTGTTTAGTCTGGTTTTGTGTCTATGCTGCTTAAGGATGCCTGTTTATTGCATCATGTCTGTCAGCTTTATTATAACTGTGGAAATCTGGGATAGTAAAATATAGTTTAGTTCAACACCTTTTAGCACAACGAACAATTTTTCTTGTATGATATTTACTTTAGTCCCCAAACTTTGTAGCTTCTGAGTATGATATTCACCACACACCCAACTTTAAACTTCTGATATTAATTGGAACGCAAGTGAAAAGGAGTATTCATCAATGGGGTTATACCGATTCATATTTGTATTTCCAGATCGATTATGTTTCTTGCACCAAGCAAGGAACCTCAGACAAAGCTCGCAAAACGCATGCTAACTGAGGGAGAGAACTAAATAGAAGAGGGATAACAAGTCTGGGCTGTTATTTTTTATTTTATTATTTTGCAAATAACAAACACGTTTTTTATACTCAGTTAAATTATGTTTTTATTTGGTCAATGCTCTCTTAATTAACGTTCTACCACTGAGGCATTATTATATCATTGGAAAACGGTGGCGTTGAAAATATTCTGACTGATTATTTTAAGACTGCCATAAACTGGGCTACCGCTAGCACAATTAAAAGAGAATAAACAAACAGCAGTTTTCTTGCAGGTACGAACACCCCACAAAGGCATATAAATGAACGTCCAAATATGTTTTGTTCTTCCCCAGTAATAAGCATTGCAAAAATTCCTTAATTGGGATTTTTCAAGTTTAGAGGCATAAAGAATAAGCAGGTGTATATTTCCGTTAAAGGTGAAAGCGACTAGAGCTCTAGTAACCACTCCTTTTAACTAAAATTCAACAAAAGTGCTCTCACATTCCGGTTTGTTCATTGTACCCCTAATGATGCCTAACTTATTATGGCGTGCAAGTTTCTTGTCTCAGTCAAAATGCATTCCCTATCAAATAAAGCAGAAACGACGCCAACCCCTTTCAGATTTGGTACACCAATTTCCATGACTGCATGTGCATTTGACAGACCAATGCCACCAATTGCAACCACAGGCAGTTTAGAGGCCTTGCATACTTCCTTCAATCCGTCTAAGCCTACCGTACGATTGTTTGCCTTTGTATTAGTGGCATATACACCACCACAACCAATGTAATCGGCACCATCAATCCATGCTTGTTGGGCTTGCTCTGGCGTCTTGCATGATACACCAATTATCTTTTCAGGCCCAAGGAGAGTTCTAGCAAGACGTGCAGGCATGTCAGATTGACCAACATGAACACCATCAGCATCACAAGCAAGGGCCACATCTATACGATCATTTATAAGCAGAGGGACTCCAAGGGAACGGCATATTTTAAGGCATACTTTGGCAGCATCAAGGAAGTCCCGAGTCTCAGCATCCTTTTCCCTGAAAAACCAGAAATGTAAATAAGGCTAAAATGATTCATGCTGAAGTCTTAACAGGAAGCAAAAACCAAACATACATCATCAGAAACATAAATTATGATCAAGCAAACATTGATCTGAGATTTCACTTTATAAATTCGTAATCAAGGCACAACAAAATTATTCTCAGCTCAATGCTTTCCTTTATAGGATAACCTAACGTTGCTTCAATTATGAGACATATCTGTTTTCATGGAATTTGGAAGGGATGATGCTAGATAGCCAACCAGAGACAGTTGGGTTAATTAATAGGTTAAAGTGAGTTTAGATATGATCAAAGAAGTGGAATAGACAGATTTAGGTGATGATAAACTTAGCTGAGTGAGATTATAAACAGTTTTGATACCCTGATTGATTTTCAACCAGTTAAAGACAGCAACACAAGAAATGAGGAAACTCAGGTATTCTGCAACATGTATAGGATAATACAAAAACAGAAAAGCACATCTAAAGAAACAAACCTTAATTGAACAATGGTAGCACCTCCTTCTACAGCAGCCTTAACAGCTTCAGCAATAGAACGGCCCCACTTCCTATTCATACCCGAATCCGTAACAGCATATAACAATAAGTCATTTGGATTGAACCTACTCTGCCGACAAGAACTCTGATTGATATTCTTAAGTGCCAAAAAATGGTCAAAAGGGCCTTGAGCTCCATTTCCAATGACCAAGTCTCTACTGTAATTCAAGGCAGCCTCAATAAAATGTTTAGCTATCTGTCAAAATCCAGACATATAAAAATATTACAATTATAGCATATTCCATCCTTCATTCTCTTTTTTTTTTCATTTGCTCTTTCTTTATTTTATTTACGAAGAAAAAAAGGAAGAGTGAATCATGGGTATTGCCAAATGAGGTCCTTAAATATTAATGTCAACTGAGATAGTTGAACAAACCTTAACTGAAGAAAGCATTGATGAACCTTTTGCGAGTTCTGCTGCAATGCATGATGCCAAAGTACAACCAGTACCATGAGTATTGCAGGTATTTACACGTGATGAGCACAACTCGTAGAATTCCTTACCTGCAAAACTCAAGACCTAGAAATGGTGATCATTTTTAACAAAGATTTGGACATACACTAGGAAAAAGTATAGGGAAAAAACAGCTGCTGTATCTCAGATTCTTTTTTTTTTTGGGGAAGCTATTGTGCTTCATAGAATCAGAGACCTGAATCTCACCATCAAAGAATACATCAACAGCATCCAATGAATTAGGGAGGTCACCGCCTTTTACAAGTACATTCCTGCAATGAAAATTCATTATATGTAAAGGCACACTACTTTGAAGTTGGAAATTGTCATATTTATTTTTATGACCTCTGTCCATGATGCATAACACTTTACATATACAACACCATCATGCAAAGCAGTTGTTGGGCTGCTTGGGCATCATTGCTCAAGGGAAACAATTTAACAATCTAATTTATCCAGGTCAATATAAACAGTAGCACAATAAATGCAGAATGTTGTCTCAACTCAGGGCCATAATAGATATTTAAATAATTACTGTATTTCCATACATTATCAAACACCATTACAAGTGCATGACATGAAAAATGTATAAATCATAGTGCGTTCTTTTGGAAACATTTAGCTAGAAGTCTCCGGGTCCATGTTCTGGATATTGTATCAACCATTTAGATAAAAACAGCATCAAGGGTATAGTTTCTTCCAAAGCTTCTTGGTAAAAGTCTAAAGAAAAGAAGTAATAAGAAAATGAAAATGTTAACATCAGCCCCTAGAGTTGATTTTAAGCTTTCAAAAGTAAGGTTTTATAAGAAAAGTGGGTATTTATTACATAAAAAATAAAAATACGTAAAATACATTATTTTCCAATAAAAGCTTACTTGTTTTGTATACTTAAGATCAGTTATAAGAGTTGATGTTAACAAAACTATTAAAAAAATGAAAGTGATGCAATGCTCCTACAATATAGCAAATATTTTTACAATTGTATACCATACAAACAATTTCACCCATGTGGTTCTGATTTTAGAAGTTTTTTCATTCATAGTTCTAAATATCCAAGTAAAAATAATTTATAAAAATTATTCATTTGAAATAGTTTATCTAAAGACTTCCTAATTGAAATAAGTTTACATCAAAGTTTTGCTTGGAGTCTTTTACTTGTTTAATCTAGTCTTAGATGCGCTTACAAATGATTTACAAAAAATTATCCTTCAGTACTACTCCTTGTAGATAATATAGTGTTAGTTGAGGATTGAAAAAAAGAGGTTAATATTAAACTTGAGTTACAAAGCTTGCGTAAAAATAAGGTAAGGTATATGCATTGTAGGTTTAACAAAAAACAAAATGAAAATCATCTATTGAAAGTTAAAATTGAAGATAATATTATACCACAAGTTTCTAATTTTAGGTACTTGCGATCAATTATACAAGATGATGGAGAAATTAATGAAGATGTTACTTACAAAATATAAGTTGGGTGGTTAAAGTGGAAAACGACATTAGGAGTTATTTGTAATCATAAAATACCTATCAAACTGAAAGGAAAGTTTTACTTTACTGCAAGTCGATAAGCTATCCTATATGATAGTAAATTTTGGGTCTTACAAGAATAACATGAGAAAAAAGTGAGCAGCAATGAGAATGTTTAAGTGGATGAGTAAACACACGAGAAATAACATGATACAAAATGATAGTATATAAGAGAATATTGTAGTACCAAAAGTGGAAAAGATGACTGAAAATTGTCTAAAATGGTTCAATTATATGCAAAAAATACCTTTGTAGGCGCCAGTAAAAAAAGTAGATTGCATAACATTTAGTCCAATAGAGAGAGGTCAAGGAAACCAAAAAATCCTTAGACGAAGTTATTAAAAGAAATATTTTTATTAACTAGACTTTTGAAAATTTAATTTTTGACCAAGCTCAATAATATCATGTGATTCATGTAGCAAACCTCACCTAATTTGGTTGTTGTTATATTCATAAGGAAGTATGCCTTGAGTAAGGCATGTTTCTCCCTTGAGAACATTGAGCAAGAAAGGAATATACTAATTTATAGTTGCTACAAATTTGATTGATCAGTATGGCTATTGCACTTACTGATATTATTTTCTCATAGTTAGATTGTTAACTAAATATTCAAATATATTAAACAACAAACCTAGGACCCAAATCATGTATCAATTTTGCAGCAGTACGCATGTCAGAAACTGATTTCAGTGGCACATCACCAAGTAAAACTGATGCCTCTTTTATATTTGGGGTTACAATGTCAGCCATGGGAAGCAGCTCCTCCCTGAATTCAGAATCCAATAAATAAGCAAAGTTAATTCCCGACAGTTCTATTAATAAATATTGAAACAATATTTTCATTCAATGTCATATAAATAAGAATGAAAATAAAATTGAGTTTTAAAATTGTTATTTTCCACCAAAAACTGTAAAAACCAATAGACAGAAACCCACAACAAAGAAAATTAAGCATAAAACTACATAATCAAAGGATTTCAAATAGTATCTGGATCCTGTTATGAAGGATTGGAGGATATGAAAATACTATTATGTCAAACAGATACAGCATAGTTCAAATTCAAAAACATATACCGAAATCCAGCAAGAACAGAAGGGCCAGCAAGTACATCTCCACTGGTAGATATCATGACAGGATCAACCACAAGAGCTGCCTTCAGCAAAAATGAAGTCAGCACAGAAGTCACTCCAATTGCAATTAAATAAATGTGTTATAAATTTTTGTACAAGTGAATACCTTTGACAGGAAATTTCCTAAGGTTCTGACAAAGGACCTTCACTGTATTAAGAGAGGGTAGCATGCCTGTTTTGACCTGGAGACACGGCATAATTAGTTCAAATGGACAAAAAAAAATAGTAGCAGCCACTGTTAACCAAGATATCAGCATGAATCAAGGCAAACAGAAAGCAAGCAACCCTCATGCTTAGAGAACTGAGCAGATCAAATCTCAATATAGCTCAATGCAAGCCTCCCCTCTCCCCAAAGGATCAATCGGGCATGTTTCTATTTGTTTTGAGATGGTTTCCAATATGGAATGACAGGAGGTGTAGTGCTTTAGCCTCTTAAGTTTTCTTGTGAAATAACATGAGATATCTTAAAGAATATTCTTGAATCATAAAGGCTCAATTAGGAAAAATGCTTGAAATAATAGCTGTTGCACTCACTATTATGACTTACCACATCAACATGCATATCAGAGAGCACAGAGTTTAACTGCTCTGCCACAAAATCCTCAGGTACAACGTGCACTCCCTATCAATTGCCACAGATTTGAGTGTTGGTATTATTATGGATGAAATTAACATTTGGGCACAGCCCACACCTGAGTTCATGAATACCTGAACTCCAACAGTGTTCTGTGCAGTAACAGCAGTGATGACAGTGGAACAGTAGACTCGGCGAGCAGCACAAGTCTTGAGATCAGCTTGGATTCCAGCACCAGCCCCAGAATCAGAGCCAGCAACAGTGAGTACGTGTGGAATTTTGGGGTCAGAAGTGTGCATCATATCTGCTTGCAGCTTCACAAAAGGTGTTCTTTGATTCTTCGGAATTGGATTACTAAGTGGATTCCAAAACGGGAAGCTCAATCTCCTTCTCACAAATGGGGGAACCTAAAAGCGGGTCCCAAAACACGGGGAAAATGGGATAAATAGAACAATAACGTGTTACCAACGCGTCTTTCACGGAAAAGTTCTGAAGTGTGTGTAGAAAGTTACAAAAAAACTATACAAAGAGTGAAGAAAAGAAGAAGCTACAAACAGCACATATAGATTCGAATTGGATAGATGAGATTGTTAGTTATTGTTGAATGATTCACTCACATTTATCAATCAGTGAACTGAGGATACCTTAAAACCATCGAATTGGCAACACAGCAGCTCAGCGTTCGCCATTCACTTCGCTTCACACGCGATTTGGGTGGGAATACTCCCCAAGCTTATATATATATATATATATATATATATATATATATATATATATATATATAGTAAACTCTTGACTAATGCTGAACTTTTGTGAGAAGTTATTTATTTTAACTATTTTACTTTTATTTTCTGTTGTCATTTTACATTAAAAAATGAATGAAATGAATATCAATATTATTTTGCAAGGTTAGAGACTAACATAAAGTTTCTAAAATCTCAATAACTAAAATGGATCACTCGTATAATTTTGAGGACTAAATTAAAAGCTTAATAAAAAGTAAAATTGTAAATTTATTTTATTATATTGTGTAGTGATTAATTATTAAAAAAATAAAAATCTTAGCTTTTATTTTAAAAATTTTAATATTGACCCATTTTAAACAAGCTAAATAATTAAAATAATATTTTTTAAAATTAATTACTAAAATAAAGTAAAAATCAAAGTAATTTTCTGTTTAGGGCAAATTTTTGCTACGTCAGCCCATATTTCATATAAAAAACAAACAAAATTAATTTTTTTATTTTTTATTTAATTATTTCGTCTAAAAGAGGGACGAAACACTCCACAAATTAACACATGATAAAATAGGGATAAAACTAAGGATCTCGACACATATTTAAATCTCATTAAATTCCTCTAAGGTTTGAACAAAATTATAGAATTTTGACACGTGTCAAAATCATATTAAATTTGTCTACATTTGAAATGAAATGCTTTTTAACCATCGGTCAACACACTTTCGTTGCACCTAAATATTCAGCAAAATTTGAATATATAATGGATGCGAATGCGGATCCAATTTGAAGTGCAGAAAAGTTTCAAACTCTTGAAGATGTGAAGAATATTAAGGTTAGTAAATTTTGGATACTTTTTTGAGTTTTTTTGTAATTGATAAATTATAAAAATTATAATTTTTGAATTACTAAAATAAATATGTAGTTAAAATTTATGAATATTTAGTAAATATATTTTTGTGTATGTTGAAATAAAAAATTAATTATTTAAATATTGTCAAAAAAAAATATAGAAATTAGTATATAGTTAATATTAGCTTGTGTAATAAATAAAAATGATGTTATATTTGTTGTGAATATTTATTTTGTATATGTAAAATACGTATAAAAAATATTAAATTTTTTGTAATATAAAATGATGTGAAATATAGTAGTATGTTTGTGTATGTTAAAAATTATTTATAGAAATAAGTATAATTATAATTATTTATTGATATTTATTTTTTTATAAATGCAGGATGAGTGAGATTATTATTATTATTATTGTATATTAGAATGGAAAAAATTTTGTTGAAAATAAAGGTGTGATATTTAAAGGTAACAAAATAATGATAAAGATAAGAAGAGTGATAAGTTTTATGAATTAAAAAAAAAAGATTCATGACAAGTTGAATCTTAGTAATAATCATTTCATATCTAGAATAATTTCTCGTTTTATGGTTGATTGAAACACTAAACAATACACTGTATTGGATATATGTGATGATGAATACCTTGATTGTATGATTAATGTGTCAACAACAACGTTTTACAACTGTTATTGAATTATATGTGGATATTGCATTTGGTGAGAGTTCAAGAGTTGGATCAAATATGTTGAACTTAAGTTTATCAATGTCACTGCCTAACCTTATGGAAATGGGGAATATAAATATTACAGAAGGTATAAATTATATTTTTGGTTGAATTTTTTATTTATTTTTAGTGACGACACATAATGAATAAGTGTATGTATTTTGAAGGATGTGCAAATTTATGCAGTTATGAAGATGAAGTCAATGGTGATGATGATGATATTGATGAAAGACATATTCCATTAGACAACTCATCGAATACAGATATAGATGGTGATTTTGATTCAAACTTAAATTTACAACAAGAAAATGTTGAAGGTAATATTTACAGAGTATATTGATTAAATTGTTTATTTTTTTTAATGATGAATAATGTCTATTTATATGTAATTGTAGGTGAAATGCTATTTTGGAATATAAGTCCACACTACAATTATATTAATTGGGACCACCTAGACTAAGAAGTTGAAGCAAAAGAAATTAGTGATGACATTTCATGGGTTGCTGGAGATCCGTTACATGTGGATTTATTATTTGACTCCAAAGAGAAAGTTAAAAATGCCTTAAAACAGCATGCAATGAAAATACATAAGAGTTATTTTGTTGTTGAGTTAAAACCAACAAAGTTGTATGTGAAGTGTTTAAAACATAACAATGGTTGTCCATGGAGAATAAGAGCATCATTGCTTAAAAATGCAACAAAGTGAAAAATAACAAGGTGTGAGGGTAAGCATACATGTCTCAACCCAACAATATCTCAAGATCATACTAAGCTAGATTCATATTTGATTTGTTCATGCATCATTGGTATGTTTTGCAAAAAATCTTATTTCGTGAAGCCTTTTGACAATAAAGGGACTTACCTCTTTTGTTTCGTTATTATGTAGATATGGTTAATCTTAAATCATCATTGCCTATAAGTTTAATTCAAGAAAGGATGACAAGTCAATTTGGATATAAAATTTCATACAAGAAAGCTTGAAAGGTGAAACAAAAGGCGATTGTAAGAATATTTAGTAACTGGGATGAATCATATGCTACATTGCCAGGATGGTTAGAGTATATGACATTTCATGCTCTAGGGTTTGTTTATAAGATTGAAACAAAGTCGTTTGTTGTTGGGCATTAAGAGGATAACAGATATAGAGTATTTGAGCGATTATTTTGGTGTTTTCATCAATGTAAGGAAGCATTCAACTTTTGCAAACCTATTGTTCAGGTAAATGGAACATTTTTGTATGGTAAGTATCGTCACACATTGTTGATTGCAATGACACAAGATGGGAATAATTATGTCCTACCACTTGCTTTTGCAATTGTTGAAGGAGAGACTTTGTCAGCATAGGAATGGTTTTTGGCAATGATTCATGTGCATATAACAACCAAGACAAGATTATGTTTAATATCTGATAAGCATTAAAGCATTAAAAGTATTGTTTCAAACCCACATATTGAATGACAACCTCTTAATGCATATCATGTTTATTGCATTTGTTATATAGCAAGCAATTTCAATCATAGATTCAAGAACATTTATTTGAAAAAACAGCTGACGAAATTAGGTAACATGACTATCTTTTTGTGGTTTGCTCTTAACTTATATTCATTTTAATTGTCAAGTAATGGTGAATAATTGTTATTTGCAGCATATATACCTTCGAAGATTGTATTCGAAGAGAAGTTGAGAAGATTTTGCAATGAATCACCAGAAATATAGAGGTGAATCAACAACATATCGAAGGAAAAATAGGCTTTGAGTTATGACGACAATGGACACCGTTATGGGCACATGACTATGAATTTGTCAGAGGCTGTTAATAAGGTTTTGAAGGGAGCAAGAAACTTACCTATAACTGCTCTGGTCAAATGCATTTACGGACGAATGATTGAATATTTTGTGAAGCGTAGAGAGGATGCTTTGAATGATCTGGACGCTGGTAATAAGTATTGTTCAAAACTGTTGCTAAAAATGCAAAAAAATCAAGAATAGGTATCTTCACATCAAGTGAGACATTATGATATAGAAAGAACAATATTTGAGGTTGAAGAGACATTCAATCCTATCACGCAAAGAGGTGGTAACAAATGGACTGTTATTCTTTATAGAAGATACTGTGAATGTGGGAGATTTCAAATATATCGATTTCCATGCTCAAATGTAATTGCTGCTTGTGCATTGTTAAGTATTGACTTTTGACAATATGTTGATGATGTTTACTTTGTACAACGTGTCGTCAACACATATTTATCACAGTGGTTCCTCCTAGAAAATGACAGTAATGTGCTTACACGCAGTGAGTGGAGGTTAGTTCCTGATGAGACAAGAATCAGAAGTAAAAGAAGACCAAAATCAACTCGAATTAGGAATGAAATGGATTGGATTGAGTCACAAAGTAGACCAAGATGTAGTAATTGTCATCAAATTAGTCACAATATACGTCAATATACTTCTATATCGCCTAACGAGTAGTATAGAGGCCTTTATGTATGTTATTTTATTTATTAAAAATCTACATAACATAAGTTAATGTGAATCAAACGGTGTATGCATTTAAACGAAGTACCATATGTCATAGAACAACTAGTCAAGCTACAAACGATGGAACAACATAAATATAACACATTGACATAAAATATATGCACAAGTAGTGGGCTCAAAAATGTCAAGGTCAATCCTCATGTGGCTGGTTGGGTTCATGTTGTGTCAAGATGCACTTCCTAGGTCCATCTCTAGCTCCACAATATGGGTTACGATGTACCTCTGGAGGTGGAACATCTAAGGCTGCTTCGAAGTCAGCATTCAAATCAATTCCATGACTATATAGGGTATCATATGATGTCCCAGTAACAAAATCTAGATCTGGTGGTGGTAGTGTTAGAGTAGATGCATCATATGGAGGCGGAGTAATGAATGATGATGGACATAGGATATAACACTCTATGGTGATGAATGGTGATGGAGGGGTCTGTGGTGGATGTTGGGTAGCCTGAGATGAGTGGAAATATGTAGGTGGGCTAACATGTTGTGTGTGAAAAGGAAACTGCGATGGAACATAGAAGACTCCATCAGGACGCTCAGATATGGGAGGAAGATACCAGTCGATCGCTTGAACCTCAATGCGTCTACGCTGTAATCCCCTACCTTCCTTACAGTCCCTAAGTTGACTGACATCTATAACTGGATCCTCAATATTGTCGCTCTGTATCGGAGGGTCAGATAAAGAAATAGGCTCCATAATGCGATTCAAATTATTCTTCAGCACTAGCATAGACTAACACAAGTCTTACATCTCATCAAAGGTAAAAGAATCATGCCCATCAGTCATCAAATAGTGGTCTTTCTCAAGACCATCACCCTACAAGTCAAATTTTTGTATGTTTAACAACATCATTACAAATCAACAACACAAAACTTAAATTCG